ATTTTGATATATATCAAGCGCTTAAACAGCATTGATAAATAATAATAATAATAATAATAATAATAACAGGCGATTTTATCGATATAAAGAAAACGACTTTCGATTTTAATTTTGATATATATCAAGCGCTTAAACAGCATTGATAAACAAAAACATCGAAACAGAGAGAGCTGTCCAATTTAAAAGCTTCTCTTTAATTGCTTGTAATTTGAAAAAAGCTTGTTAACAATTAAAACTTAAATAAAAGTTTAATACTATAATGATAATAAAATAATAATTATAATTAATATATCTGCAGGCACAACAAAGGTTCTATCTTGAAGGCGTCTGTGGATTATATAAAAATATTAAAGAAGGAGAAGGACAAGAAATCATGTATGGAGGAGGAAATGAAAAAAATGAAAATGCAAAACAGAAAACTTCTTCTTAAACTACAGGTATTTGAGGAGAGTTGATTTCCTCCTTGGTTTTGTGGATTAATTTCATTTGAAGTATCCGTCCAACTTTTAAACAGCTAGAGTAAGTTTTACACTGTTGGGGTATACATATTATATATTACATATTACATATTACATATTACATATTACATATTACATATTACATAATACATATTACATATTCCATATTACATATTACATATATTTAAAATTTAGACACTGCAAAACGAGAAATAAACTGAATGTATCATCTGGCCTATTATCTAGAGAAAATATGCAAAATTGATTTGTTTTCAGACTGACAAATATTATAAAATAGTGAACTTTAACTCCTTTTTTTGTAAAAATTATACAAAATAGGCTGCAGAAGAAACAAGTTTTCAAACAATTTGAAAAATTCGGTGGCAATTGTTAGCATTCTTAACACAACACATAAAAAATGTGAAACATCTCTTCATTTTACAAAAAGTACACATTTATTTCGTAATTTCAATCTATTTAACCAACACGTATAAAATATAATGCTTTACAAGGTACAGGAATATGTATATGTATAGGTGTACAGAATAAGAAATATAGTACACTGTAGAGGAGTTTATTACAGTACACAATTTACAGAGCTCTATAACAGTTCACTGTACATGAATATAAATATGTACACTGTACAGGAGTATGAGGATAGGCTAGGGTCTGGAGGAATAAAAGAATCTGAAAACCCTGTTTGGGGATCAGCACGTCAAGATGATTTAAATCAATTAATTACTAAAAGACAGGTAAAATCAAAGTGAATTGATGTGAACTGGGTACCTTACGCAATGCTAACGCTTTAGTGAATATAAATTCAACTAAGAAGCAGCCTGCAATCAGACCGAGTCAACCTAGTTGCACCAGCTAGGGCCAAATTTTGACTGTGCGGGCGGGACAGTCAAAATTGGGACCGCAAAGGTTGGCCCAACTCGGAATCAAATGTGCAGCGGTTGTGCGTTTCCTCAACCTTTAGTATTCTCACCTTGGGTAAAATATGGACAGTACTTGCTAAATCCATGCATAAACCACCCAGGATACAGGGTTAACGCGCAAACCAGGTGTCTAACAAGTCATTTTGAAGAAGCTCAAAGCCGCGCGTTCATGTCAAAATGCAGAATGGGCCAAGAAAATATTTGGATTTCCATGATTTCTGTGACTAAGCTTCAGGTTTGATCTGAAAGAAACCAACTAGACCCACTGTGGAACTGTGAATGCAGACCAGTATGTGCTGAACATAAATGATAACTCCAAAATATCCATACCGATTAATTGATTATTAAGAAATATACAGCTGACAGTAAACCCCCTCCGGGCTACAAGGCTGGGCGGTCCGTGTGAACACTGTATCCTATCTAATTTATCCGTGGTTAAAGCACACATAGTCCCAGCATTGTATGGATTATGTATTTATTAAATCGTGGGAAAAATTGTAAAAAAAGTAACTGCCATATTATTTAATTAATTAATTATTTAAATTATAAGATCAAACGGAAAAAATGTTTAAATTCGAAATTGAAGCATAAAAAATTAATTAAAGTTCATTCATTAGAAGTCCACACTTTTCAATGCATTTTGTTCATGTATTAATCAAAAACCCTTATCTTAAATATTTAATTAGTAATTTACAACTATTTGAATAAATTCTGATTAGAGTAATTATTTTAGAATAAAGGAATTGAGTTTTTGCCACAAACTCTGATTTTCTAATTTCAATGTTGTTGCAACCCAATGTCGCAGACCTTTAATATTTCAAACTATAAATGCTATTAGATCAAATAATGTAAGTTTGAAATATCAATGGTTTACATCATGAGATTTCAATGATATAGGTTTTACAAAAACTGGATTTGTGGCAAAGACTCAATTTCTTTGCATACAGAATACAGATATTAAGAAATTTTGTTTTTCGTTTTTATTTTTGTCCGAGCTTAGTCGGATTAACAGTCAGTTCTTCTTTATAGTACAAACATTTAATAACATTACACCAAATATGGAAAAAGCTTTAATTCTCTTACTGTAAAATATTTTTATTTCAAGGTTATTTTATTACAATAAATTTTTCTTGCTTTAAAAGTGTGAAAAAAATGTTCTGCAAAATTTTAAATAAATTCATGAAAAAAACAATTCTTATCTCACATCCTGCAAGCCACTACCTTAATTTTATTTGAATTCTTTATAAATTCACAAATTTAATTTTTACAATTCTGTTCTAACATAGCGTTTTTTTTTTATCAGACACCCTGTAGTATTATTTTATTTGATCGTGCTTTATTCAGACTTAATTTACTTTAATATCTTAGTAAGCACAATGTTTCAGACCAATCCTGTTTATTTGATGGAAGACGACGAAAGAGTGCAGGGAAAACCGTCAGCGGCACAGCGCTCGGTCAGAGCTCAAACAGAAGAAATGGAGTTTTCTTGAATGCAACAAATTACAAAGTTAAAGTGATTAAACTTGAAAAGTTTTGATTATTTAAAAAAAAAGTGGCTTGGACGCAAAATTAAGATTATTGTGCATAATGAATTTTAGAAATAGTTTTTTTCTATAAATGGTTTAATTTGAGAGTATTTATGTTAAATTGCAATTTGTGTTTTCTAGAAAGATTTTGCTAAGGGAGTTTTGTTTTCCATTTTAAATTAGGAAAATAATCTTTTGGAACATATTTCATGGAGTGCAAATCTTTCTAACTCTAAGCTGTTGGATATACAGTGAACTAAACCAAAAGGACTTTCCACAAACTCAAACTCTCTAATTTCAATATCTTCGAAACCTTTGTAAAGTGTTAATTGTAATTTATTTATCGTATCGGTATCAAGTGTGAACTGTACATTGTAAATTATTATTTAAAGTAAAGAATTAGAAATTAAATATAATGAAGAAAACAAAATAATTGATTGCAACATTTCTATTTCTATTGAGAAATATGTTCCTAAACATCTAATTTGTCACTATTACATAATTTAAAAAAATTAATTATCTAGACGTAACTACCAATAAAGATGATTTTGAACATCGACTTTGCGCTCAAACTTAGTAACAAAACATAATTAAAACGTTTTATATGTCTCAAATGAATCCTAAAAATTCAACAATACTACATTCTCAGTTCAACTACTATACATTGCCGGTAACTCCTTTAAGAATTTGCTTAAAAAGAAAGTATAATAGCTGGACCAAAAAAGAAGTTAAAGCTGCAAAAACAAAGATACTTCTAATCATTAAAGTGAAATTCGTGAGTTGGTTTAATTACAAATGTACAAAAATTGTTTACCAAACCCAAGTAGTTCGTTAAATCTTAAGTAGCATTTTTCTGTATTGAATGGTGGCCCGTATATTTTTGGTCTTATAGTTTTTAGAATTTGTTTAGGGTCAACCTTTAGCTTTCAAAATGAGGACTTTACCTAAATCTTTTAACAGCAAGTGTTCTAGGATTTTTATTAGACATTTTACCATTACATTTTTAAAAGTGCGTTTGATAAAATTATTCTTATGCACACGTAGACCGGTTAGTTTTACCTATATATGTTTCTGAAATATATATTAAATATCATGTTTGTGTTTCTAAAATATGCATTAAATATCATGTTTATGTTTCTGAAATATATATTAAATATTATTAATATTAATGAAATTATCGATTCATTGGTTCTACTACAGATTTCATCGATCATTTCTCTTAAGAAATATGTTCCTAAACAGCAAATTAAGCTATAAACTAATTGTTTTTTTCATGTTTTGTCTAGGTTATTAAATAATAGCAAAAAAGTTTCTTCTGCTGGCTTAAACGACTTTACGCTCTTATTTAAAAATATTACACATTAAAAAGGAACCATAAAGTTTTTCTCTACAATACTGCACTTTCAGCTCAAATATGTTACAGAGTCGGTCTCTCCCTTTAAATTTTACACTTTACCCATGATAGTTTGTTTGTTTATTTATGAAAATCACGTCGATCTACAATTTATTTTTCATTGGCAGATTGCTGTTTTGTTTAAGAGAGAAGAGGTAGAATTGTCGTGTTTATTGTTTGGTGATAAGAATCGTGAACAGATTTTTTTTGGTTAAAACTGTTAAACTATAAATATTGCACATTTCTAAACCTTTGGATGACTTAAGTAGTTTCGCTAAAGATTTTGTAATTTGTTAAAAATAATTATTTTTCAAAAATTTTCAGTGCAGATTTTTTTATTGTATAGCTTATGTAAGAAAAATAGTCATCATGGAACTTTGCATGTCACTTCATTCTGAAATACGTTACAGAGTAACTGCACACTGTTAAGAAATCTGCATGACCATGGACTAGACACTCATAATAAAGTAAAAGGTCGTGTGTACACCAAAAGAAACAGGCCAATTACAGTTCGTTTGGAAATTTAATAATTAAAAGAAAAAGAAAAAATTAAACTTTATCTATTAGCCCGAACTGTGAGCGTTAACTTTCGATCAATTCTTGTTTTTCTATACTATGGTTTTCTATACTATGGTTTTCTATACTATGGTTTTCTATACTATGGTTTTCTATACTATGGTTTTCTATACTATGGTTTTCGATATTGCGAAGTAAACTTTCCATCAAAACCCTCAAAAAGGTTATCTAAAGAAAACGCTTCTTCAATACTGATTTTTGAATGGAGCTAATTTGAAAACTTAGAATAAATTTAGTAATTAAGTAACAAATATTTTTACAATATATATTTATACAAATTTACAAAAATATACATTTGTAACATGCTTAAAGGGACTGTAAAGGAAAAATGAAAGGGGGTATATATAGGCTGATACCTAAGCATTTTAGGATTTTATCAAGACCCAGAAGAGTTCTATATGATGTTCTTGTCTCAAGAAATTGATATAAAACTGTGTCAAATTTATACGAAAATCTTTATGTTAAATTTTGTATGAAAATAGTAGATTTAAAAGGATCATATTCAGCAAATACACAACCAATCTGAAACAACGATTTCCCAAGGGAGCCTAAGAAACTGAAGTTTGCTCCTATTATTGTTTGAATTTAATATTTTTTCATTTTTAATAGATATAACCGTACCGTCCGTACCATATGATCAGAACTCCACCAATGGCAGTGCAGTATCATTATCATGTGACTCCATCTGTATCACGTGACCGTTATACTGCACATGATACGAACGTATAAATGATATTATCAAATATATCTTTTATACATGAAAAATTATCAAATTTTAATAATAATAGAACCTAAGCTTCTGAGGCTTCTCTGGGATATAATCGTTTTCAGATTGGTTGTGTATTTGCTGAATGTGATCCGTTTAAACCTACTATTCTTATACAAAATTTTATATATGTAGATTTTTGTATAAATTTGACACAGTTTTATATCAATTTCTTGAGACAAGAACATCAGATAGAACTTTCATGGGTCTCGATCAAATGCCTTTACCCCCTTTTTATTTTTCCTTTACAGTCACTTTAAATACTTTCAAAAACATTGATAATACTGTTGGATATGTACCTAACGAACATATAATTTACAATTTTGATATTAGTAGATCACAGAAAACACAGTATTTTTTTCTCTTTTTTTGTCACTTCAAATTCAAAAGGATAAACTTTAATGTTTAAAAAAACAAATTTTAAAAAAACTTAATTTTTACTCAGAAATTAATTAAATACCTCTTTTTTTAAGTATCTGTTAATGAACAATAAAGTTTTGAAAAAAAAATAACTTAACATTCTAGTCTAGGAAGATACATAGAAATTCCCCATGTAATTTTTAAGTACTTCAGTTTTGGGGATGATTATAATTAACCTGCAGTTTATATTATTTATATTTATTTATTTAACCGTATTTATTCAACGTCGACCTTCTATAGTTTTACAACTCTACATTACAATATCACGTAATTAAAAAACATTTTGAATGATTTATCCAATGTCCCTAATCAAAACATTTTGAATGATTTATCCAATGTCCCTAATCAAAACATTTTGAATGATTTATCCAATGTCCCTAATCTAAACATTTTGAATGATTTATCCAATGTCCCTAATCTAAACATTTTTCTTAAATTAATCATAGAAGGTTTCTTGGTGCAATTTTCACGGTCTTGTAGTCTATATAAAAACAAATTTAAAATCATATTGAACTGAATGCTTAATACTGAACATCGTTTCGGATTCATTTTCTTCCTTTAAAAGAGGTTTGCATTCCATCTTTTAATTTCAGTTATAAAGTGCCATGATAGCAAAGAGTTTTTTAAATCAAAAAAACATTTAAGAATTCATCTGAGATTACAACATCAGTAAATAAAGAGTTTTTAGATCTAATTCAACATATGACTCCTCTTTCATGTTAAATACATTTTGGTTTAAACATTCATATCTGATTTTATGATGGATACAGCGTGGTTTAAACATTCATATCTGATTTTATGATGGATACAGTGTGGTTTAAACATATGAATTCGCTTTCATGTTGGATGAAGCGTTGTTTCAACATATGAATCGGCTTTTGTGCTGGATGCAGCGTGGTCTGTATTCAGCACATTTTCATGTTGGATACAGCTGATGGTTTAAACAAAGGAATCGACGACCTGCATGCTGGATACAGTACAGAGTGGTTTCAACATATGACTCCGCTTTCATGTTGGATACAGCATGGTTTCGACATGAAACTCTGTTGTCATGTTGGATGTAGCATGGTTTCAACATAAGACACAGCTTCCATGTTGTATACAGCATGGTTTCAACATAAGACACATCTTTCATGTTGGATACAGCATGGTTTCAACATAAGACTCCGCTTCCATGTTGGATACTGCATGGTTTCAACATTAAATTCTGTTTTCATGTTGGATACAGCATGGTTTCAACATTAAACTCTGATTTCATGTTGGATACTGCATGGTTTCAACATAAAACTCCGCTTTCAAGTTGGATACTGCATGGTTTCAACATAAGACTCCGCTTTCATGTTGGATACTGCATGGTTTCAAAATAAGACTCCGCTTTCATGTTGGATACAGCATGGTTTCAACACTCCGCTTTCATGTTGGATACTGCATGTCTTCAACATAAGACTCCGCTTTCATGTTGGATACAGTATGGTTTCAACATAAGACTCCGCTTTCATGTTGGATACAGCATGGTTTCAACATAAGACTCCGCTTTTATGTTGGATACAGCGGGGTTTAAACCATTGATATTGGATATATAATAAAACGACTATAATTAAACACAAGACTCGACCACCAGCATGCTGGATGTAGCGTGGTTGAGTTGGTTTGTGCACGGGGTAGTTCCAGGACCGATCTCCTCCTCCTCCTGCTCAATATCAGGAGTACATGGAGTGCATGGAGTACATGGAGTACACATCTCAACCAGTCCTCGTACATCAAGCAGAGAACTGAAACATTAACTATTTTATATAAATCCACTTTCTGTTTTTATAAAACATATAATGTTAAACCAAAATTTCAACTTTTTAAATATTGGAGAAAAAGTTAAGTTTTTTTATCTTGTAAAGTAACTTTAACAGCGAAACTGCAGTTAATAAAGAGTCAGAGACAATAATATCTCCATGCATTTTTGCTCATTTATTCCAACTTTATATTTTTAACTAAAGCTGACAATTTTATATCATCTTTTATATTATACGACTTTGTGAAAAGGCATTTGTATAACAATTTAATGTTTTTGTATGAATGTTATCAATTAAAAATCCACGAATTCTGCAGAATGATTACAGTTGCAAAAAAAATGTCATGATCATATTTTATGTGGATTTGAGAACATTATGAAATTCACAATTTAAGTTTTCTGATTCAAACTATTAAAAAACAAACCTGGGACAGTGAAGATACACCAGGAACCCCAATATTTTTGTTTAAATTAAAATGTACTGCAATTTCTGGGAGCAATGTAAACAAACACAGGCAACACTTTGTTAATTTTGCCTTGTAGGGTGAACAAAGACTACTGGAGTAATTTCCTTGATTTTTTTAAACTAAAATATTTGTTTTGCCGTTTGGCTGATTTTGTCTGAAATTTTTGTCCGAAATGTTAGGTTTTGATGTTTGTCTGTGATGTTTGTCAGTGATATTTGTGTAAGATGTTTGTCTGTGATGTTGTCTGTGATGTTTTTCAGTGATGTTTATCATTGATGTTCTCAGCGATGTTTGTAAGTGATATTTGTGTAAGATGTTTGTCAGTGATGTTTGTCAGTGATGTTTGTCAGTAATTTTTTGTCGGTTATGTTTGTCCGTGATATTTGTCTGTGATGTTTATCAGTGATGTTTGTCATTGATGTTTGTCATTGATTTTCTTAGCGTTGTTTGTCAGTGATATTTGTGTAAGATGTTTGTCAGTTATATTTGTCAGTCATGTTTGTCAGTAATGTTTGTCAATGATGTTTGTCATTGATGTTTGTCAGTGATGTTTATCTGTGATGTTTGTCGGTTATGTTTGTCTGAAACGGTTATCTATGATATTTGTCCGTAATGTTTGTGTGTGATGTTTATTAGTGATGTTTGTCAGTGATATTTGTCAGTGATGTTTGTCAGTGATGTTTGTCAGTGATGTTAGTAAGTGGTGTTTGTCGGTTATGTTTGTCTGAAACGGTTATCTACAACATTTGTCCGTTATATTTGTCCGTGATAATTGTGTGTGATGTTTGTCAGTGATGTTGACAATGATTTTTGTCAGTGATGTTTGTCAGTGATGTTTGCTTGTAATGTTTATCTGTGATGTTTATCTGTGATGTTTATTTGTAATGTTTATCTGTGATGTTTGTTAGTGATGTTTGTCTGTGATGTTTGTCAGGGATGTTTATCAGTGATTTTTATCTTTTATGTTTGTTTGTGATGTTTATCAGTGATGTTTGTCAGTGATGTTTATCAGTGATGTTTGTCAGTGATGTTTATCAGTGATGTTTGTCTGTGCTATTTGTGTGTGATGTTTGTCAGTGATGTTTGTCATGATGTTTGTCAGTAATGTTTGTCAGTGATGTTTATCAGTGATGTTTGTCTGTGATGTTTATCAGTGATGTTTATCAGTGATGTTTGTCTGTGCCATTTGTGTGTGATGTTTGTCAGTAATGTTTGTCAGTGATGTTTTTCATTGATGTTTGTCATTGATGTTTGTCAATGATGTGTGCCAGTGATGTTTGTCAGTGATGTTTGTCAGTGATGTTTGTAAGTGAAGTTTGTCTGTTATGTTTGTCTGAAACGGTTATCTGTGATGTTTATCAGTGATGTTTGTCTGTGCCATTTGTGTGTGATGTTTGTCAGTAATGTTTGTCAGTGATGTTTTTCATTGATGTTTGTCAGTGATGTTTGTCATTGATGTTTGTCAATGATGTGTGCCAGTGATGTTTGTCAGTGATATTTGTCCGTGATGTTTGTCTGTGATATTTGTGTGTGATGTTTGTCAGTGATATTTGTCAGTGATGTTTATCAGTGATGTTTGTCCGTGATGTTTATCTGTGATGTTTGTCTGTGATGTTTGTCAGTAATGTTGTCATTGATGTTTGTCAGTGATGTTTGTCGGTGATGTTTGTCTGTTATGTTTATCTGTGATGTTTGTCTGTAATGTTTGTCTGTTTCCTACCATGAACTATCGTTTAACCAGTTGTAGAGTACAGGGTTAGCGCAGGTGGACGCCATTGCAAAGAGATGGCAGAGGAAGAATGTGAAGTAGTAGTAGCTCCAGCAGTCCAACTTACCTCCAAGATCCTGTACAACAGAAGCATGCTTGGATATTATTCAAACGAACAGATTTAAGCATATAAGCATTGAACTGCAAGAAACACCCTTTTCATTTGTAAGTTGTCAGAAATCAACAGATGTTTTTCGACACACTGCAGGCTCTAGATCCCTAGAAAAGCTTCAATCTTGTTAAAGGGACTGTACGCGTAATTTCAAGCGACTCTACATGCAAAGATGACAAGGCCTGATTCACAATTGTTACCTTTAAACGCTTTATCTTATCAAGTCTGAAGTAGATATTATTGATTTTATAATTTTGAAAGCTCATTATCTTTAATTGAGGTTGCTCTACAAAAGTGTATTACGCAATTTTCTTTTTCGAGAGTACCATTGTGAATCGGATATTAACATCTTTGCTTGAAGGGTCACTTGAAATTTCACTCACAGTCCCTTTAAGGAAGTTTCGCTGATAATAGTTTGAGTAAAATAGATACTGCCAATGCACTAGCACATGTATCTATGGAAAGGAGGAAATTCGATAACTTTCTTCACTAAATTTCTGGTAAAGAGACCTTTGCAAAATGTAAATAAATAAATGCATTTGCAATCTTATCAATTGTGAGTTACTGTGCAATAGTGGATAGAGTTTAAAACACTAGAGATAAATGAGATAATTGTTTGCTTGTAGAGTTCAATTTTGAAGTCTTGATAATAGGTTTTCTGTCCATACTATTTTAAGGGTGTTTTGTCTTTTACAAAAGGTATTTTCCCAAGGGCGACTTCCCAAGTGGCAACTTCCCAAATGTACATTTTCCAAGCGGCAACTACCCAAAGGTGGCAATGGGGAAAGAGCGCATAGGCTAAAACAGGCAAGGGGCCGAGTGCTTTGGCTAGGACAGTCTTGGTAAGTTGGCGCTTTCGAAATTGCACATTTGGGATGTGGACACTAAGGAAAATATCCTTGGGAAGTTGCCTCTTGGGATAGTGCCTTTGGGAAAGTACCTAATATAATTTTCTCTAAGGAGGGCCCAGCTGACATGACTTCAAATAATGGTAGGCCAATATACCAAACCAATCTTGACAACATCCTATTATAGTTTTGCTTTCTGTTTTAGACTCTAAGTCTACCTGGATGAGATTTAGTCTACCTGTTTAAAGTTTTGTCTACCTGTAAAAGGTTTAGTCTACCTGTATAAGGTTTAGTCTACCTGGATAAGATTAAGTCTACCTGGATAAGATTAAGTCTACCTGGATAAGGTTTAGTCTACCTGGATAAGGTTTAGTCTACCTGGATAAGGTTTAGTCTACCTGGATAAGGTTTTGTCTTCCTGGATAAAGTTAAGTCTACCTGGATAAGGTTTAGTCTACCTGGATAAGGTTTAGTCTACCTGGATAAGGTTTAGTATACCTGGATAAGGTTTAGTCTACCTGGATAAGGTTTTGTCTACCTGGATAAGGTTTTGTCTTCCTGGATAAGGTTAAGTCTACCTGTATAAGGTTTAGTCTACCTGGATAAGGTTTAGTCTACCGCTTATAAGGATTAGTCTACCTGTATAAGGTTTAGTCTACCTGTATAAGGTTTAGTCTACCTGGATAAGGTTTAGTCTACCTGTATAAGGTTTAGTCTATAGTCTACCTGGATAAGATTAAGTCTACCTGGATAAGGTTTAGTCTACCTGTATAAGGTTTAGTCTACCTGGATAAGGTTTAGTCTACCTGGATAAGATTAAGTCTACCTGGATAATATTAAGTCTACCTGGATAAGGTTTAGTCTACCTGGATAAGGTTAAGTCTACCTGTATAAGGTTAAGTCTACCTGGATAAGGTTAAGTCTACCTGTATAAGGTTAAGTCTACCTGTTTAAGGTTTAGTCTACCTGTATGAGGGTTATTCTACCTGTATAAGGATTAGTCTACCTGTATAAGGTTAAGTCTACCTGTATAAGGTTTAGTCTACCTGTATAAGGTTAAGTCTACCTGGATAAAGTTTAGTCTACCTGTATAAGGTTTAGTCTACCTGTATAAGGTTTAGTCTACCTGGATAAGGTTTTGTCTTCCTGGATAAGGTTAAGTCTACCTGGATAAGGTTTTGTCTACCTGGATAAGGTTTAGTCTACCTGGATAAGGTTTAGTCTACATGGATAAGGTTTAGTCTACCTGGATTAGGGTTATTCTACCTGTATAAGGATTAGTCTACCTGTATAAGGTTAAGTCTACTTGGATAAGGTTTAGTCTACCTGGATAAGGTTTAGTCTACCTGGATAAGGTTTAGTCTACCTGGATAAGGTTTAGTGTACCTGTATAAGGTTAAGTCTACCTGTTTAAGGTTTAGTCTACCTGTATAGGGTTTAGTCTACCTGTATGAGGGTTATTCTACCTGTATAAGGATTAGTCTACCTGTATAAGGTTTAGTCTACCTGTTTAAGGTTTACTCTACCTGTATGAGGGTTATTCTACCTGTATAAGGATTAGTCTACCTGTATAAGGTTAAGCCTACCTGTATAAGGTTTAATCTACCTGTATAAAGTTTAGTCTACCTGTATAAAGTTTAGTCTACCTGTATAAGGTTTAGTCTACCTGTATAAGGTTAAGTCTACCTGTATAAAGTTTAGTCTACCTGTATAAGGTTTAGTCTACCTGTATAAGGTTTAGTCTACCTGGATAAGGTTTTGTCTTCCTGGATAAGGTTAAGTCTACCTGGATAAGGTTTAGTCTACCTGTATAAGGTTTAGTCTACCTGGATAAGGTTTAGTCTACCTGGATAAGGTTTTGTCTTCCTGGATAAGGTTAAGTCTACCTGGATAAGGTTTTGTCTACCTGGATAAGGTTTAGTGTACCTGGATAAGGTTTAGTCTACATGGATAAGGTTTAGTCTACCTGGATTAGGTTTTGTCTACCTGGATTAGGTTTTGTCTTCCTGGATAAGGTTTTGTCTTCCTGGATAAGGTTTAGTCTACCTGGATAAGGTTGATAAGGTTCAGGGGAAGCCAACAGAACATAAACACCATCAGCATAGACATCAGCACTCGGCTTCTGACACGGTTCCGTCTTCGCTCGGCCTGCCGGCTACACATATATACAATAATATCATAGATAACCAGAATAACAATTTTTTAACTTTTAATCTTATTTTCGATGTCCAATTATAAAGTTTCTGATTTTTCATTTTATTTCTCTCCAACTCCTTAAATTTTTTAAAAACTTAACTAATCCTTGTCCGAAATTGTTAGATGAATAACCAACTTTTTGTACTTATTAACTTTATATTTTTCAACCTTTCTATAACAACTAAATTGAACTTTCAAATTATAAAGTTATCTAAACCTCAAATTCAATTTTATATTAGTCAAAAACAATCACAATTCCTGAAATCATATTTCAACCCGTTTTAGATAAAATTATACCAATTTTCCCTATTCGATCAAAAAACATTGATAAATAACCAAAATGATAAATTTTTAAAACAATTTGAACGTAATACTTTTGAGGTAGAATTTAAGATTAAAAAAGGAAAACGAGCATAAGGTGTTTCATTTAATATGACAATTACAACATTCATGGGTAAAGGGAGGGCGATAAAGAAAAAAGAATAATAAATGCTATAAAACTGCCAATACTATTTTAACGAAATTATATCTTACTTGATTTCTTTATAATCTCATTTTGTTTTCTAATTTCTAAAATCAAAATCTACACAAATGCTTAAACTCTCGACATTCGTTAAACGATACTCAAGTGAAGGAATTAATTGAGTCTTTGCTACAAATTTAAATTTTCTAATTCCTATATCTTTGCAACCTGATATCGGAATGCTTTAATATTTTATTCTCATACCAATTGATCTAACAGAATTCATGGTTTGAAATATTTAAGATCTACGAGATTGGGTTGCGAATATACAAGGATTAGCAAAGACTCAATTCCTTTCCAGCTCAGGGGTCAGCCCGGTACATCCATCAACCATAATTTACAGGTAAATTACTAACCTAGCAACAGGTCTGGAGAGTGCAACCCTAGACTCCACCCTCTGCCTGAGCCTGTACATGATCTTGAGGTATGCTACGAGGCTGACGGTGAAGGGTATGATGAATTGAACAATGAAGGTGAGTATACTGAATACAAGACGAGGGGTTCCCTGCCACATCTCCGCACAGAACATTCGCTTTCCAGAACTTGTCAGCTAAATACAAAATATTTAAAAGTTTCATGTCTGAACCGGTTCAAGGATGCTAGTCTACTAGTCTTTACATGTGGTTAACAGAATAAGGTGGGATGAACTATAGTGAATATATTTTGAAAAGCAAGGGTTCAAAGGCCCTTCTTTAAATTCGTTGTTACCATCAAGAGGCTCAACAAGAACCTCAGATATTAATTATATATTTTAAAATTTATTTCATTGTTTAAAATTTACTAAACGATGTATACAAAACGATTTACACAATGTTTCCTACTTTTGGCCTTAACCCTCCAGATTGGGCTATTTTGTCTGATATAAATGGGGTGGGTTGCATTAAATTACTTCCAGATCTGTATAGCTTAATTAAAATTTATTACTTTTGTAAAAACGACAACGTGATAGGGGGGGGGGGAGAGAAAATGGAAGTTAAAAATATTTAGCTTTCTCCCCGGGCATGCGAGGTCTCATGTTGGCCTGATCTAAGTTTCTAGGTTTATAAAAAAAATTGTCAAAAAAACAGTAAACGAGGCAAAAACAATACAATACAATAAACCTTAAAGGGACTGTAAAGGAAAAATGAAAGGGGGTATAGAATGACACCTAAGAATCTCAGGCGTTAAACAATACATATGAAACATCTATAGGATGTTCCTGTCTCGAGAAATTGATATAAAACTGTGCCAAATTTATACGAAAATTCATATATATCTAATTTTGTATAAAAGTTGTAGTATTAAACAGATCATATTCAATAAATACGCAACCAATCTGAAAACGATTATATCCCACAGGGGCTTAAGAATCTTAGGTTTGCTCCTGTTATAATTTTCAAAATTTTTTTTTTTGCATTTTTATCATATATAGTTGATAATATTATTACATATAGTCCGTATTACGTCACCCGAACTTTAGCCAATGGCAGTGCAGTATTATTGTCACGTTATACAGACGGAAATCACGTGACCAGAAGGAAAATGAAGACATATCACAAATATTTAATCAAAATCAAACTATAGAAATAGTTTTACTATTATTGTAATCATAAAACTCTATATTCTAAAGTAAATTCTGACAATCGTAAAATCAAACACCAAATTTATATTTTAATATATGGATCTCTGCTAAACCCTAAACACATTTGTCTTTAGTGCCAACACGGCTGAACCGAACAGAAACGTGGAACGTCTTTAAAATCTTTCGTGGTTGGTCAGGATATTTGTCTATTTTAATAATTCTCTATAATTAGGCATTTATTTTATCAAAATAAGCATCTATAAGATATGCTAGACTTATATTGAGATTAATAAGAACATTATTGTATCCTTCTTTTTTAAAATATACTGAGCTTCGTTTCGTACAGAGCAAACTATTTTTTTATGGTGGTTTTTATTTTGTTTTTTAGAGTATTTTTCAAAAACTTTTATGGAAACTCGAATTTTTCACTTTTAAGTGATATTTTACCTGAAGATGGTAGGAGTAAGGAGAGATCATAACAACAGCCAGGGCGTCAATGAAAATGATAGCGAGAAAAGTTGCAATTTTGGATTTAGCCCATCTTTTAGAAGGTTGGAATACAGCCTCAAACCTAAAAACAAAAAATATGTTTAAATATAAAAAAAAATCTTTCCCGTAAAAAACAATAAACAATGTATTTTGCAAAAAGTGTGATTAAAACAAATTTAAATAATTAAGTTAAGATGAGAGACTAGGTAGTAGGTATATAAAAAATCATAATCCCCCGGAAAAAGCTAAAATAATCTAAATATTCCTAATTTTTCTCTTCTGCTCTTAATTGAATATAAAGAAGAGATTGGTTTTGAGCAACCTGCCAATAAATTATTATGCATATCAATAAATACATCAGTATAATCTCATGGACGTATACACTATACAATTCACGTGGGGGAGGGGAGGTTTCTTTTGGCTACAATTTTCCCAATTTGAGTTACTAGAAATTCAAGGCGCTTCGCGCCCATCTTCTATTTAAATTGTGAACATGTTCTTTTTGTTTACATTTAAAAACAAAGAAGAAAATTTTTTTGCGGATTTAAAAAAAAAAATCACGAATTTTCAAGAATTTAATTTTTTTACAAAATTAAAAACCTTTAAAACACATTTTTTTAAAATTTTTATCATTCATAAACCTTCCCTGTGGTCACGTGATGTCCCACAAAAAATTTGGGCCGATCGGTTCAGCCGTTTTGACGTTTATTGGATACACACAGACAGACAAACAAGCCAAATTTATATATAGGAGCAGTACCTTGAAATAAATTCTAAAAAACCGTGATCTACAAAACTTAAATTTTTCTTTCAGAAATATCTTTATCTAAAGGAAAAAATAGAATGCAAAAATAGTTTGAGTTTATTTTTAATTGACACAGATATGGCAATGCATGCTTTACAACGGTACCCTTGACATCTAAAATGAAAATAAACAGTTTAAAGAAAGAAAAATATTATTATATCTAATTAATACTTTATCAGACAAAGCTTTCAAGGACACCGTTGTAAATCGGGCATAGCAAACTCTGCATGAAGGGTCACTCAAGATTACGCTTACAGTCCCTTTAATTGTTTATTCAAAATTACGCTTACGGTACCTTTAAATGTTTATTCAAAATTACGCTTACAGTCACTTTAAATGTTTATTCAAAATTACGCTTACAGTCCCTTTAAATGTTTATTCAAAATTACCGGTACCTTTAAATGTTTATTCAAAATTACGCTTACAGTCACTTTAAATGTTTATTCAAAATTACGCTTACAGTCACTTTAAATGTTTATTCAAAATTACGCTTACAGTCCCTTTAAATGTTTATTCAAAATTACGCTTACAGTCCCTTTAAATGTTTATTCAAAAAAGATATTACCTATCCAGAGCGATTGCCATTAGACTCAGACTTGAGATGTACACACTGATACCCTGAAATAGATAGATAGATAGATAGACAGATAGATAGATAATTGGATAAAACGTGGGGTATGCCCTGTCATAAAGTTTACTCTTTAAACTTTTAAAAGATTGTAAGTTTTGAAGATATTATTGTTTTTTTTTCAGAAAATTTCCCCAATTGTGTGCTGCAGTTGAAATCTGCAAATCCGCAATTGAAAGTAATCAATTTCAAAGAAATGCACATGAATACTTTATCTATTCTTGATCCTGCAAAACTCTTAAAATGGTATCGAAAAGGCCACTCAATAAATTGTGAATGATTAGAATTTATCACTTCTGTCCCTGCAGTAAGATTAGCCATTACGGTTTCTAGTTACTAATAATACTAAGTAGTAACTCATTGATAATCAAGTTAAGCGGGGTCCATGCACATTGCACATAGGTTTTTCTTTTTAGACAAAAGAGAATTATTCTAGTTAATTAATTTCGATTAATTAACTTCTGTTTTTAAGTGAATATTTTCTTTACCTTCAAAGAACTGTATTTACAATCTGAATCTTAATATCTTGCGCAAAACTCTTTGGCGGAGAAACCACAATCAAAATATCAAACTTTTAAAGAGTTATTTCAAAAACGATCGTTTTTCAAGAAAAATGACATGCAACTTTATTGAATGTCGTCTTACATGAAGTTAACTACAGGGTGTCCCACGAAACATGACAGTATGCAGGACGTCTTCAATGTCGTCTTGATTTTTGATATAATTTGCCGCGTTCATTTGTCAACCTAATTTTAAAAGTAAAATACTAGAGATAATAATCACAAAATTCCCCTGTCCTGCCATTTCCAAAATATGGTCTGCCTTTTTTGTGCTTTCAATATTGCCCGAGATATGAAGAATTTCGTTCAGATTTCGACAATTTTGCTTTTATTTAACAAAATTGAAATCTGAACCAAACTCTTTATATCTCCGGTAATATTGAAAGCACAAAAAACGCAGACCACTTTTTGGAAATGCCAGGGCTAGGAGAATTATGTGATAATTGTTTCAAGAATCATACATGTTAAAGTAGATAGAAGACTAAATGTCACAAATAAATTCAAATACCAAAGACGACTTTCAAGTCGTCTTGCTATTGTCATGTTTCGTGGGACACCCTGTAGTTGTGGGGGAGCTAAAACTTCTTGATATTTTCTTTAACACTACTCAATGATAAGTAAAGATGTCCTTCAGGTCGGTTTCCTCTATTCTTGAGCAATCGTTAACGAAGTGTCGTCGTTAACTTTCGTTAATGAAACGACTAGTTTTATAAAAACGATCGTTTTGAAAAACGATATTTTCATAACGAAACGATCGTTTAAACAAAATGAAAACGTTAACATCCCTAGAGAGGGGTACCCGGACCCCCCCCCCCAGGAGGGGGTTTCTATATTTTTTAGTAAGTTTATAAGGTTAAAACTATAAGGTTAAAATCTATTTAATCTGGGCTTACAGTACCTGACACGCTGGGATAATTTTACATGAGAGAGATCCGAAATACCATTGACCTAATAATCAAATATACATTTAGAATGGATTCATTTATATCCATTATCATAGAATTCTGGTATTTAGAATGGATTCATTTATATCCATTATCATAGAATTCTGGTATTTAGAATGGATTCATTTATATCCATTATCATAGAATTCTGGTATTTAGAATGGATTCATTTATATCCATTATCATAGAATTCTGGTATTTAGAATGGATTCATTTATATCCATTATCATAGAATTCTTGTATTTAAAATAAAGTTAAAGTAACTAGCAAAATTTCACCCTATTTTCAGGGATTTAAGAATCTTTGTTTTACACTTTTTCTAATAACTTAATAACTTTTAAAAAGGAATTGCTTACAATTTGGAAAACCAAAAAAGTAGGATATGAACCAGAACGAGAAAACGTTCCAGAAAAAAATCAAAACATAGGAAAAAATATTTTTTAAAAATTACTAAAAAACAGAAAATGTAGAAAAAAAAGAAGAACGTATCATAAAACATAAAACACTGTATCAGAAAAACAGACAAACTAACCAGAAACAGAAAACCTACCAGAAAATGCTGTGAGGGGGGTGAGAGGAACAGCAGTCAAGCACATCACAAAATCACTTAATAAATTTGTTTAAAATGTATTCAAAAATAAAAAATGCATATCTTTTTTGATTTTATTTTAAATTAGAAAAGTTTATACAAACTTTGAAATTTTATAATAATTCATGCGGGCTCTGAACATTTTCTGACTGCCATGTTTGTTATGTATCCTACCTGTAGGCCATGTTTGTTATTTATCCTACCTGAGGGCTATGTTTGTTATGTATCCTACCTGACTGCCATGTTTGTCATGTATCCTACCTGACGGTCATGTTTTTTATGTATCGTTATGTATCCTACCTGTAGGCCATGTTTGTTATTTATCTTACCTGACGGTTATGTTTGTTATGTATCCTACCTGTAGGCCATGTTTGTTATGTATCCTACCTGACGGTTATGTGTATTATGTATCCTACCTGTAGGCCATGTTTGTTATTTATCTTACCTGACGGTTATGTTTGTTATGTATCCTACCTGACGGTTATGTTTGTCATGTATCCTACCTGACGGTTATGTTTGTTATTTATCCCACCTGAAGGCCATGTTTGTTGTGTATCCTACCTGAAGGCCATGTTTGTTATGTATCCTACCTAAAGGCCATGTTTGTTATGTATCCTACCTGAAGGCCATGTTTGTTATGTACATGTTTGTACTCTGCCACAAGCGTTTTGTCCTGAACAAAATTTATCAAAAACATCTCAATACATGGTTTAACAAATTATTGAGCAAATATTTATTTCTAATAGTTTACAATGAGATATTTGGTTAATTACTGTTTAATGAATACATTATTGAGAGATTTACATTTCAATAGATATAATGTAATGCACTAGTGAAGATACAGAAGTACAAGAATATACAGAGAGTATAAACATATACAGAAGTACAAGAATATACAGAGAGTATAAACATACACAGACGTATAAGAATATACAGAGATTATAAACATTTACAGAAGTACAAGAAAATACAGAGAGTATAAACATATACGGAAGTACAAGAATATACAGAGATTAGAAACATATACAGAAGTACAAGAATATACAGAGGGTATTATCATATACAAAAGTAAAAGAATATACAGACAATATAAACATATTCAGACGTATGAATGTACAGAGAGTATAAACATGTATAGAAGTATATAAATGTAAAGAGAGTATAAACATCTAAAGAAGTATAAGAATGTACAGAGAGTATAAACATCTACAGAAGTATAAGAATGTACAGAGAGTGTAAGCAATAAGCAATTTTTAAAAGTAAATTCATGAGTCTTGATATAATAAATCATAATTTACCTAAGGGATGTTATGACTATCGCCAAGTTTCCCATTGCCCCGAGAATACCTACAGTACTGTACAGTAGTATGAAGGTCGTCTGTACAGTTGGTACAAATATCAACAGCTGTTCAACATGACACTCTCCGCCCTAAATGCAATAAAATATATTTAATGAGAGCCTTGATCGAATTCGGATTCGATCGCTACTTATTTGCCTCTAAAAGGAGAAAATGGTTAAACACGCTTAAAATGCCAAAGAGTAAAGATGGAGCTATGTTTTACATCCCTGGTTCATTTGATATTTACTTCCTGGTCCAATCCGGGTTTACCTTGCTACAATATTTGATATTTACTTTCTGATCCAATCCGGTTTTACCTTGCTACAATATTTGATATCTACTTTCTGATCCAATCCGGTTTTACCTTGCTACAATATTTTATATTTACTTTCTGATCCAATCCGGGTTTACCTTGCTACAATATTTGATATTTACTTCCTGATCCAATCCGGTTTTACCTTGCTACAATATTTGATATTTACTTTCTGATCCAATCCGGGTTTACCTTGCTACAATATTTGATATTTACTTCCTGATCCAATCCGGTTTTACCTTGCTACAATATTTGATATTTACTTTCTGATCCAATCC